AAACTCTAAGCACTCCTTTACTATAGAACTCTTGAATGCTGCTAAAGCATACATTCCTCTCCGCTGGAGAGATGTCAACCTGTGGACGAAAGCTGTAAGGTTTACAAAAGTCAATGAACTCCAAAACATGGAAGACCTCAGGGCCATGCTGCACAATACGGAGGAATTGTTTACTGACACTTGAAAGCCCTGGCATAATTTCATATAAAAACAGATGCCTACCTCAGCTAATTGGCTGCAACCCAGTGACTCCAATCCCGTGCCTTCCAGTATCCTACCTGGTAGAGAGATGCCTCTCTCTTCTCTTTCTCCTTTACTGGTCACCGGTCTATCTTCCCTTCCCTACTTTCCCTCTTTTTCTTCTTAGTTTCCCCTCCTCCTTTCTTCTCCCCTTTTCCACATGCTCCTGGAAGCTCCTCTCAAACTGTTTTCATGCTTAACCGCTTCCATACCGGGCACTTTTACCCCTTCCTGCCCAGGCCCTTTTTCAGGTTTCAGCGCTCTCACACTTTGAATGACAATTGCGTTGTCATACAACATTGTACCCAAACTAAAATTTTTTCATTTTCTTCACACAACTAGAGCTTTCTTTTGGTGGTATTTAAGCAACACTGGGGTTTTTTTTTTTTTGCTAAATTAACAAAAAAAGACTGAAAATTTTGGAAAAAAACCCACATTTTTCTTTGTTTCTGTTATAAAAGTTTGCAAATAATAATTGTTCTTCAAAAATTTAGGTCAAGATGTATTCTACTACATGTCTTTGGTGAAAATAACCCAAATTAGGATGTATTATTTAGTTTGTAGGAAAGTTATAGAGTTCACAAACTATGGTATATATCTGAATATTGATCAATCCTGAAGTACTGACGGCCAATCTAATTTCTTGAGGTCCACAAATATCAGAACAGTACAGATATCCCCCAAATGACCTCTTTTTGCAAAGTAGACAGTCCGACGTATTTCATAAGAGGCATGGCAAGTTTTTTGAAGGTGAAATTTTTTTGTCATAATTTTTCGTAAAATGAAAAAATGTAAAATATTATTTTCACAAATTTTTTTTTTATATACTGTCACCAGTGCAGTACAGCATCATCATATAACTGGCATTGCAGTGATCAAGGACACTGACTGGTGACAGTACGAAAAAAAAATTTTTTTTAATTTTTTTATTAGTTTTAATTTTTATTACATTTTTTTCTCTTTTTTAAGAATTGTTTTCATATTTCACTATGACCAAAGTAGTATAATGTTACCATAGTAACACTGTACTATCTTGGGGAAGTGAGCAGTATTTTTTTTTTTTTTTACACACTTTATAAGCAAGCATTTACCTGAATGACATCAATTCATTCAGGGTTTTTTTTTTGTGCTTAGCTGAGATTTGGCCGCCGCTAATCACATGACAGAGCTGGGCTGTGATTAGCCCAGCTTGTGCATTTGATCACTGTGACCATTCACAGCTAGACACACTAGTATACAATGGATGGCATGAAAGGAAGCCATCCATTGTATACAACTGTCATGTGACCTGCTGTGATTGGTCACAGCAGGTCACATGGTACTGGAAACGGGGTCGGTACACAGATCTGTCATCAGCCATGTCTCAGGTACACGGCCGGTGACCGATTGCGCCACAGAGCAGTCCTGCGGGTAGGCAAACTACCCATGCCTGAAAGGACGCCATATTGCGTCCACCCAGAGGGACGAGCTGCTCGCCCGGCCGCCTTTGTGCTATTGGCAGGGTGGGAACTGGTTAAAAAATGTGGTAATTTCTCCAATGTCCCTCTGGCGCTGGTGTCGTCTACTCAGCTTCTTCCATGTATTGGGCTGCAGCCATCTCCATTGGCCGTTGTGGGATGATGTCACTTCTATGCATGCGCAGGGGTTCTGTCATCCTGGAACACAGGATCTGTGCCAGAATGTAAAGAGCTGTGCTAAACATCTTTATTGTGCAAAAATAAACCATACACTACTTAGATCAGTGCATGGGGCTCTGGCATTTATCTGTGGGTCAAGGCAATGTCCTATGTTTTGCAGGAAACAGTGAAGCCTGGTGGAGCTTCCTTGCAAGTTTGGTGCTGCATTTCTGCAAATGGGGTTGGAGATTTGGTCAAGATCATTAGTGTACTCATTGCTGAGAGATACAGGCAGATAATTATCAATCATGTCATACCATCAGGGAGGTATATGATTGGCCCTAAATGTATTCTATTCTGAAGCAGGATAAGGACCCCATGGTGTTAGCTGCAGTGCCTGGGGCTCTGGTGTGAAGTTGTGGGTGGAGGGCACAGGTGTCCTATCCAGCCCCACTGCCAGCAGCCAGTCAAACTCTATGAAATGTTAACAGCTGCATATGGCACCAATTGGTACAAATGTTTAGGACAGCCTATGCCCAGGAACAAATGCCTGTAAGGCAGATTTCTTGCATTCTGGGTATTCGTCACTGGGTACTGCTGCCCTAAACGTTTGTACCTGCACTGTCCAGCTACAGCAGCCTCTCAAAGAGTTTTATGGGCTGCTAACAGAAGGGGTGGATAGGATACCTGTGTCCTCTGCCTGAAGCTAAACTCCCAGTGTATTTAAGCCCTGTAATCTTTTTTTCATGAAATTCCTTTTACTGTGTTTTACTTCCCCTTTGAAATGTCCTCTTTGAGCTACCAAACCTCTCCTTTTCCCCCCATTTCCATTTTTTTGCAACAAACAGTGCACTTATCTACAATGCCTTGAAAAAGTATTCATGCCCTTTGAAATTGTCCACTTTTTGTCATGTTACAACCACAAACGTAAATGTATTTTATTGGGATTTTATGTAATAGACCAACACAAAGTGGCACATAATTGTGAAGTGGAAGGAAAATAAATGGTTTACAAATAAATATCTGAGAAGTGTGGCATGCATTTATGTTCAATTGAATTCAATACTTTGTAGAACCACTTTTCACTGCAATTACAGCTGCAAGTCTTTTGGGGGATGTCTCTACCAGCTTTGCACATCTAGAGAGTGACATTTTTGCCCATTCATCTTTGCAAAATAGCTCAAGCTTTGTCAGATTGGATGGAGAGCGTCTGCGAATAGCAATTTTCAAGTCTTGCCACAGATTCTCAATTGGATTTAGGTCTGGACTTTGGCCCATTCTAACACATGAATATGCTTTGATCTAAAACATTCCTTTGTAGCTCTGGCTTGTTTAGGGTCCTTGTACTGCTGGAAGGAGAGAACCTCCGCCCCAGTCTCAAGTCTTTTGGAGACTCTTAACAGGTTTTCTTCTAAGACTGCCCTGTATTTGGCTCCGTCAAACCTCCCATCAACTCTGACCAGCTTCCCTGTCCCTGTTGAAAAGCATCCCCACAACATGATGCTGCCACGACGTTTCACAGTGGGGCTGGTGTGTTCAGGGTGATGTGCAGTGTTAGTTTTCCGGCACACATAGCATTCTGCTTTTAGGCCAAAAAGTAAAATTTTGGTCTCATCCGACCAGAGCACCTTCTTTTACATGTTTGCTGTGTCCCCCACATGGCTTCTCACAAACTGCAATTGGGACTGCTTATGGCTTTCTTTCAACAATGGCTTGCCACTCTTCCATAAAGGCCAGATTTGTGGCATGCATGACTAATAGTTGTCCTGTGAACAGATTCTCGCACCTGAGCTGTAGATCTCTGCAGCTCCTCCTGAGCTACCATGGAGAAGCTTGGCTGCTTCTCTGGTTAATTCTCTCCTTGCCTGGCCTGTCAGTTTAGGTGGACAGCCATATCTTGGTAGGTTTTCAGTTGTGCCATACTCTTTCCATTTTTGGATGATGGATTGAACTGTGCTCCGTGAGATGTACAAAGCTTAGAATAAGTCTGCTTTAAAGGTACTTTTTAAAAAAATTAAGTATACATACTTGATTGTGGATTCGGGTATAAAGTTTCTACATGTTCTTTAACCCACATTTCCCTTAGAAAATTACCATAGCAAACTTTACTGAATCAACCTATAAAGGAAGCACCAACACATATATTATGTGATTATATTCATGGATCATGTACCAGCATAATGGTTACATATATAGAAAGGTTGTGATTTGGATGTTTAGATCTAAAATACTGAATGTAAGTATTCAGGCCATGTTTTTATCTGTGTATTATTCATACATATCAACCAATAAAAATTGGTGGAAAAGCAAAAATGCATAATTGACACTCTCTCGCTTTTGTGTGGTGATTGTGCACTCACTTCAGTGAGATACTGTATATGTACAGTATATATATATATATATACATACATACATACATACACACAGTATCTCACAGAAGTGAATACACCACTCAAAGTTTTGTAAATATTTTATTATATCTTTTCATGTGACAACACTGAAGAAATGACACTTTGCTACAATGTAAAGTGGTAAGTGTATAGCTTGTATACCTGTGTAAATTTGTTGTCCCCTCAAAATAACTCAACACATAGTCATTAATGTCTAAACCGCTGGCAACAAAAGTGAGTACACCCCTAAGTGAAAATGTCTAAATTGGGCCCGAAGTGTCAATATTTTGTGTGGCCACCATTATTTTCCAGCACTGCCTTAACCCTCTTGGGCATGGAGTTCACCAGAGCTTCACAGGTTGCCACTGGAGTCCTCTTCCACTCCTCCATGACATCACAGAACTGGTGGATGTTAGAGACCTTGCGCTCCTCCACTTTCCATTTTAGGATGCCCCACGAATGCTCAATAGGGTTTAGGTCTGCAGACACGCTTGGCTAGTCCATCACCTTTACCTTCATCTTCTTTAGCAAGGCAGTGGTTGTCTTGGAGGTGTGTTTGGGGTCGTTATGTTGGAATACTGCCCCTTGGCCCAGTCTCTGAAGGGAGGGGATCATGCTCTGCTCCAGTATGTCACAGTACATGTTGGCATTCATGGTTCCCTCAATGAACTGGAGCTCCCCAGTTTCGGCAGCACTCATGCAGCCCCAGACCATGGCACTCCCACCACGCTTTGTACTCCTCACCTGGTTGCTGCCACACAATCTTGACACCATGTGAACCAAATAAGTTTATCTTGGTCTCATCAGACCAAAGGACATGGTTCCAGTAATACATGGCCTTAGTCTGCTTGTCTTCAGTAAACTGTTTGAGGGCTTTCTTGTGCATCATATTAAGAATAGACTTCCTTCTGGGACGACAGCCGTGCCGACCAATTTGATGCAGTGTGTGGCGTATGGTCTGAGCACTGACAGGCTGACCCCCCATCCCTTCAACCTCTGCAGCAATACTGGCAGCACTCATACGTCTATTTCCCAAAGACAACCTCTGGATATGACGCTGAGCACGTGCACTTCTTTAGTCAACCATGGTGAGGCCTGTTCTGAGTGGAACCTGTTCGGATAAAGCGCTGTATGGTCTTAGTCACTATGCTGCAGCTCAGTTTCTAGGTCTTGGCAATCTTCTTATAGCCTAGGCCCGGGGTAGGCAACCTGGGAGCCGCAGGACTACAAGTTCCATCATGCCTCTGCAAGTCATAGCTGTAACTGTCAGTTTTGTAATGTTGCAATGCCTCATGGGAAATGTAGTTCCACAACAGCTAGAGAGCCGCAGGTTGCCTACCCCTGGCCTAGGCCATCTTTATGTAAAGCAACAATTCTTTTTTTCAGATCCCCTGAGAGTTCTTTGCCATGCTGAACTTCCAGTGACCAGTATGAGAAAGTGAAAGCAATATCACCAAATGTAATACCCTGCTCCCCATTCACACCAGGGAGGGAAAATGGCTAATTGGGCCCAATTTGGACATTTTTACTTAGGGGTGTACTCACTTTTGTTACTAGCGGTTTAGACATTAAATGGCCGTGTGTTGAGTTATTTTGAAGGGACAAAACACACACACAATCATTTATAATACAATAACACAACTTAACATATTTCTGACAGAGCTTTATTTTACAGATTAAAACAGGTACAAAATGTTTTCAATCCACACTACTGTTTATGTGAAAAACGCTTTCCTTCTATTCTGGTTTTTCTGTGCTTTGGCTAAACAAATGAAATTATCTGAAACAATGTAACCTGTCATTTACAGTCTTATTTAAAATACTAATAGAATGCTTACTACAAAATACTTGGATTGAATAGGTAAAAGACAAAATAAAAGTGTATATACATGTGTTTTATATAGAATATTTATATATGTATACTAGATCAGTGTAGTGGTTCAGATTCAGCCCTTGAAAAAAAAACTATATTCACTGCAAATAATTGTTGCTATTAGGTAGTTACTCACTTTAACTAGTTAATACAATGTTTGCTACAGGATATCCAGCAGAAGGTACCAAATGTGCAATGCTGACAACCACAAAGAAAAAAAAAATTATCTGTGAATAAAATTTCCACCTACTGGTCTTAAATAATATATGCTTTTATTAAAAAAGGTATTAAAGAGGTTATAGAATACTAGATTTGGAACTTTAGATATGTACACACACATACTCCTGGGTTAGAAGAAAGCTATACGGGTTTCTAAAACTTAATCTGCGCATGCAGATCTTTGTGGCAGACATAAAACAACAGGACACGCTCATAGCACACACTGCTCTCCCTCTCTCACATTACATCTTTCCTTCTCTCTGATGGAGAATATTTTTTTACACCTTTCTCAAAAGTAGACTGACATGCTATATACACTTTATAATTAAATCACTCCAAACACTACATCCTGGGCAAAGAAAGAAAAAAAAAAGCAACATGTTCTCTGACATTTGCTTGTTTTACAAAAACACTGGAGGCAGGTAGAGTTTTTAATGTTTCAAATCACAATATGGTATATAGGACAAGCCTCTCTGCAAATAACTTTGCTGATTTCTATCAGTTAGTAATGTCTTGGAGATGCTAACAGCATGACTGTTGTTATAAAGAGCTCAAAACAGATCTCTAAATAAAGAAACAGAAAAGTCCACGTTATCAGGTTCAGGACTACGTCCCACTAGTTTGTCTTCTTGTCATCTGTGGGTGCATATGGAGGGGGCCGTTCCTAAAGGAAAAAGAAAAAATTTTTTTTTTACAAATTTTAGGCAATCACACAAAAACATAAAAAGTGGGAGTGTCCTTGTACAGGTAGCATCTTTCTGTATGTGCAGTTTCTATCAGACAACCATAACAACTAAAAAACAGCTTTTTAACCACTTGCCGACCTGCCACAGTAAATATCTTCACTGTATAAGCAATAACAGTGTAAAAAAGGCTGTAAAAGAAAAATAACTTTTTTTTTTTCAATGTCTTAATTTTCCAAAAAATTGACAAAAATAAATAAGAAAAAAAAATAAAAATCACAACTTCAAAAAACTTGCCATGCCTATTACTAACTACCCCAGGCTGTCTACCTTAAAAAAAGGTGTAATTTTTGTGGATACTTGTATTGTTGTGGCATTTAAGGGGCCTCAAGAAATGAGAAGCCATCAGTACATCAGGAGTGATCAATTTTCAAATATACAGTATCTCAGAAGTGAGTACACCCCCCTCACATTTTTTTCAAATATTTTATTATATATCTTTTCATGTGACAACACTGAAGAAATGACACTTTGCTGCAATGTGCAGTAGTGAGTGTACAGCTTGTATAACAGTGTAAATTTGCTGTCCCCTCAAAAGAACAACACAGCCATTAATGTCTAAAACGCTGGCAACAAAAGTGAGTACACCCCTAAGTGAAAATGTCCAATTTGGGCCCAATTAGCCATTTTCCCTCCCTGGTGTCGTGTGACTCGTTAGTGTTACAATGTATTAGGTGTGAATGGGGAGCAGGTGTGTTAAATTTCATGTTATCGCTCTCACTCTCTCATACTGGTCACTGGAAGTTCAACATGGCACCTCATGGCAAAGAACTCTCTGAGGATCTGAAAAAAAAGAATTGTTGCTCTACATAAAGATGGCCTAGGCTACAAAAAGATTGCCAAGACCCTGAAAAACTGAGCTGCAGAACAGTGGCCAAGACCATACAGCGGTTTAACAGGACAGGTTCCACTCAGAAGTTGAGTGCACATGCTCAGTGTCATATCCAGAGGTTGTCTTTGGGAAACAGACGTATGAGTGCTGCCAGCATTGCTGCAGAGGTTGAAGGGTGGGGGGGGTCAGCCTGTCAGTGCTCAGCCCATACGCCGCACACTGCATCAAATTGGTCTGCATGGCTATCGTCCCAGAAGGAAGCCTCTACTAAATATGATGCACAAGAAAGCCTGCAGTTTGCTGAAGACAAGCAGGCTAAGGACATGGATTGCTGGAACCATGTCCTGTGGTCTGATGAGACCAAGATAAACTTATTTGATTCAGATGTTGTCAAGCGTATGTGGTGGTAACCAGGTGAGGAGTACAAAGACAAGTGTGTCTTGCCTACAGTCAAGCATGGTGGTGGGAGTGTCATGGTCTGGGGCTGCTTGAGTGCTGGCGGCACTGGGGAGCTACAGTTCATTGAGGGAACCATGAATGCCAACATGTACTGTGACATACTGAAGCAGAGCATGATCCCCTCCCTTAGGAGACTGGGCCGCAGGGCAGTATTCCAACATGATAAAGACCCCAAACACACCTCCAAGACGACCACTGCCTTGCTAAAGAAGCTGAGGGTAAAGGTGATGGACTAGCCAAGAATGTCTCCAGACCTAAACCTTATTGAACATCTGTGGGGCATCCACAAAACGGAAGGTGGGAGGAGCGCAAGGTGTGGCAACCTGTGAAGCTCTGGTGAACTCCATGCCCAAGCGGTTAAGGCAGTACTGGAAAATAATGGCGGCCACACAAAATATTGACACTTTGGGCCCAATTTGGACATTTTCACTTAGGGGTGTACTCACTTTTGTTGCCAGCGGTTTAGACATTAAATGACTGTGTTGAGTTATTTTGAGGGGACAGCAAATTTACACTGTTATACAAGCTGTACACTCACTACTTTACATTGTAGCAAAGTGTCATTTTTTCAGTGTTGTCACATGAAAAGATAGAATAAAAATATTTACAAAAATGTGAGGGGTGTACTAACTTCTGTGAGATACTGTATATAATCAAAGTGTGCAGATGCTATACCTTTCACACAAACCAATTAATATACACTTACTGGGTTTTGTTTTACCCAAGACATGTAGAAGAATACATGTTGGCCTAAATTTATGAAGAAATTAGGTTTTATTGGATGTTTTATAACAAAATAGAAAATATGTTTGTTTTTTTCCAACTTTTTGGTATTTTTTTTGTTTACACAAAAAAAAAGCCAGTGGTGACCGAATACCACCAAAAGAAATCTCTATTTCTGAGAATAAAAAAATTATAGAAAATTCCATTTGGGTACAAAATAATGGCCTGGTCATGCAGTGGTTAATATAAACACTAGCAATTATGTAGCAGTTTGTGGAGCAAAAGGAACAAGTGGTACATTATTATTATTATACAGTATTTTATAAAGCGCCAATAGTTCGCTCAGCGCTGTACATTACAAAGGGGGACAGAACATGTGACAGAACAATACCAATACAATGCAAAACATGAGGGGATTGAGGGCCCTGCTCTTTCGAGCTTACAATCTAGGAGGGAGGGGATGGTGGCACAGGAGGAGATAGCTGTGGGGGATGGAGAGGTAGGAAGAGTGGAGGAGGTCGGCAAGTTAGCAGGGGGTGGGGTAGGCTTCCCTGAAGAGGTGGGTTTTCAGGGTGCGCCTAAAGGAGAGGAGAGTAGGTGATAATCTGATGGGTTGGGGCAGGGAGTTCCAGTTCCAGAGATGGGTGACACCCTGGAGAAGTCCTGGAGGCGGGCATGGAAGGAGGAGGCCAGGGAACTAGAGAGAAGGAGGTCTTGTGAGGAGCGGAGTGTGCGTGCCCGGTGCGGTACTTGGATATTAGGTCAGTGATGTAGTTCGGGGCAGTATGGTGGACAGCTTTGTACGTCAGCGTTAGGATTTTGAATTTGATCCGTTGCGCAATTGGAAGCCAGTGGAGTGATTGGCAGAGGGGGGTGGCGGAGACAGAGCGGTTGGAAAGGTGAATGAGTCTGGCAGCCGTATTCAGGATCGACTGAAGCGGGGATAGCCAGCAGCGAGGCAGGCCAGTGAGGAGGGAGTTGCAGTAGTCGAGTCGTGATATGATGAGAGAGTGGATGAGCTGTTTAGTAGTTTCTGGGGTTAGGAACGTGGTGGTAAATTAAGTCATGTGGTGTATTAATCACAAAATAGTGTTAAGTGAAGCAGATCCATGAAAAAAATTCTCCCATACAACTGCTTATTATTCTCATAATTCAATCTAGTGTGATATTTTTTTTTTCTCAAAAAAGTTAATTTAAAAGAAAAAAAACAAAAAAAACCTAAAATTTCCTTGAACTGAATACAAGCATAAAACAAATAGTAAAATAAAAAAAACCTGTATATTAGAGCAAACAAATGAGTAACATGGAGATTTCAAAATGTGTCAATCATTTACCATTACAGTCAATAATTATCCAAATAATGGTTCTAAAAAATAATATCTAATAATAAAGTGTTACCTACTTAAAAAGTGTGGTAAAACATAGTATTTGAAACATATAACCTGCCAATAATACCTCAGTTATAACAACACAAAAGGGGTTTATTTACTAAAGCTGGAGAATGCAAAATCAGGCTCACTTCAGCATAAAAGCCAATCAGCTTCCAGGTTTTATTGCCATAGCTTAATTGAACAGGCGGAGATTAGAAGCAGATTGGTTTCTGTGCAGAAGTGAGCTTGATTTTGCACTCTACAGCTTAGTAAATAAGCCACAAAGAGTTCTTTAGTAAAATTGCTATTACAACTTTAATGGCTGGATCATGCATTTCGCAGAACAGATCTACTTCCTCACAAGACACAGAGGTTGCAAGTTATATAATACGTACATATCCAACATTATTTAAACAATCTACTTTTGGCATAGGGGTCTGCAGAGAGCATCAATGAAGGACTGCATCACTCTTACAATTATAGCAATCCTGGCGATTCAGGATTACCTTTCCTTAATGTTCAACACAATATAAAAATATTGCGGGAATTCACGTGGATCCTGTAATGTGGCAGATCATGCTCGAGACCTCCTATGAGCCTCGGATCGTACGGTTATATGTAAGAGACGGTTCTTGGTTAAAAAAAAAAAGAAAAAAAAAAAAAAAAAAAAAAAAAAAAAGTGCAGCCAATCTTTCAAATACTGTATATGTCTCATGCAATCCTTTTATAGATATCTACTACAAAAACCATTATCTTTGAGAAGCAGACAAGGAATTCATTAAAAGTTTAGAAAGTGGAAAATTTGTAGAATGTAATTCTTGCTTACCATAGGCATGTAGACATTGTGAGGATTTGCTGGGTTGTAATAGGCACTGGAAGCAGCTTCTGCTGCCTTGCCATTTCCTTGGGGAAGAAAAAGCAGTAATATAAGTTTCAGTGGTTTTAATTTTTGCAATCCACTAATCTTTTGCAGACTTTTCACAAGCAGTATGTCATTCCTATTATTTAGCATTTACAAAGTGACAATACTTTTCATGGTGTTATACATTCCCAACTTTTAAAAATATCACAGGAAAATTCAGGATTACTATTACCGGTAATAAGTTTTCAAGACTCCACCACAACAGCTGAGAGGCTGCTCTTTGCACCTGAATGGGACCGGAAGCACACAGAAGATTAATAGGCCCAAACCAGCCCTAAATTCTAAGTTCTCGGAATATTACCTACTTATAATGTAGGTGGGATACTGGCCTGTTGTAAGAGTCCTGAAAAGCAAGTTATTGGTAGGAGAAATCAATCACCCATCTCAAAAGGCACCCAAGACATGACAAGAAGTCCTTTAGGATGGGATCACAGCTGACAAAACTTTTCTGCTGAAAGTCAAGTCATAATTTGCCAAAAGATCCTGCTGGTAATGTTTTATAAAAAAAAGGTGTGGCAGCTAGACCATACCACTCTCTAAAAATTTACTCCATTAATGCAGATGCTCATTCTGTCCACGACACAGAAACTGACCACCTAGAATGGAAGGAGATAAGCTGATCTCACCTGTTTAACCCATTTGGGAATAGTATTTATTGAAGCTGTAGCTCCCTTAAGAAGACTGTGACAGACCACCTGGCACCCCAACTATGTGCCTCCGCCATCCCTTTACCCCAAGCATCATTCACAGACAAGATGTTGAGGTAAAACCAAAAAGGAATAACTTTATTAAAACCCGTACTTTAAATTTCAAGAGGACATTCCCCTCTTGGGGATATAAGCATTGAGAAGATGCTCTGTATCTGTATCAGCCACCCCTCTCTGCCAATCCCTCCACTGGCTTCCCATTGCCCAAAACACAAATCAAAACATTAACAATAACATATAAAGCCATTTATAACCCTGCCCCAAATTACATCACCGATCTTGTCTCCAAATATCACCCAAACCGTACTCTCCACTCCTCGCACGACCTCCTGCTCTCTAGCTCCCTTGTCTCTTCCTCTCATGCTATTCTCCAGGACGTCTCCAGACTATCGCCTACTGTGCTCACTTTTAGCGCGATCTCTGAAAACCTCTCTCTTCAGGGAAGCCTATACTGCTGTCAGATAATGGAATCTTCTACTCTTTCTACCAGTCCATCCCCCACAGTTTCTACCTTTTGTACCACTAGCCCCTTCCTCCTAGATTGTAAGCTCCAAGGGCAGGGCCCTCCTATCCCTCTTGTATTGAACTGTGTTGTTGCTGTATTGTCTCCCATTATATTGTAAAGTGCTGAGCAAACTGTTGGCACTATATAAATCCTGTATTAATAATAATAAGAATAATAATAATAATAATAATAAGACATACAACCAGTAATCACATGACAATGCAACCTTTAAACATGAATCTAATTAACAGCTAGGCACCTAGACAAGACTAATTAGTTTGGTTAGTAGTCACAGGAATTCCCCACCCTGCCTCCCTTGTCTATGTGCTGGAAAACATGTCCACAATAAGTCTTGGTTAGCCAGGGCATGCCCACCAGGATGCCCAGAAACAGTTCCACAGCCCCAGATACATAAAGTACATTACGACACTCATTTCTAAATGTAACACTCCAGATCCAGCTCGGATCTAGGTTACCAATTCATCTTCAGCGGAAAGTTAAATATAAAGTTGGTAGTAGTGGAAAATTGGGCAAATGCTGCATTATGCAGCTCTCGAGGACCAGTCGGGACAAGATAAGAAATATGCTTAAGAAGAGTTCCATATTCCTTGCTGGTGAAGGTGCATCTGCATGATCTTTCCGACACAATGTTCCCACAGACACTGGTAGATACTACCAGACAGTTAAAGGGTTTCAGGACCCGGCTGTCCTCCATGGTCTGACCGGGAGAAGCAGACAAAATCCCTGGCCTCCTCCATGGGCCATAATCAGTGGGTAGAAGGCTAATCCATAGTCTCCTATCCTGGTTGGGTCGGTAACATTTCTCCCCCCCCAAAGGCAAACTAACCAGGTCCCAGACCTTCAACTGATCTGGACATGCATTAGGCGGGCAGAGTGTTCCACATTGGTGGTCCACATGAGTTCCATTCCTGGCATCACGGAAGAGTTGTTGTCTATATGTGTGGTGCAGAGGTCATGGACCCTCTGTCCAGCTGCCAAGGATTCAGCTGGGAGGTCTTTAATGTTCCAGGGCTCAGTCAGTTGCTGGGGAGAGGGGCCGACTGCCTGGAGCCGTGAAGATATGGTAGGTTCTAGACAGAGGCCAGCGGTGCTCTGCCCTGTTGCCAGCGCTTCAGCTGAGCATTTGGCTGGGGAGGGAGGATTTCTTCCTCCTCTCCCTGGCCTCTGGTCTACTGCTGAGGACCTGAGCTGGCTGCCCAGTCTCTTAAGACCCATCCAGCTACGAAGAAATTTCCCTGCTATTGTCTTCCAGGAGCATGGACCCTTGCTAGGAAGGGGAGATGGCTTTATCCACTCCTGGATCATTGTACTGCCACTGGCGAGATGAGCCGGTTGCTTCATTTCCCAGATCTCGTCAGGGTGAATCAATACTTGCTGCATCCGCCATAGGAGCTCCCCTTCCACAGCTGCGGGTGGAGGTAGGTAAAGCACACTGTTATACTGCCCCATTGCCAACACGTCAGCCGGGATTTCAGAGCCATTGGCCGGTACTTACTGATCGTTCCAGGCAAAAGGGAGCTGCTCAGCAGCGCAGCTACTGAGCACAGTCTAGCAGCCATTTCCGGCTCCCATTCCTAAATGGCTATAATGTCCAAATCTTCCTGTGCCCAGAGCACTTCTGAGATGTTCAGTACCTGGTCTCTGTAGTCCATGGTTTCCTCCAAACACCACTCCAGGTCGCTCCCGAAGTCAGGGTCCTGTGAAAGCATCCCGTACAACAGCCCCAAGCTGCCATAGCCAAAGCCTTCCGATGAGCGGGCGTCAGCTGTCCAAGGGCACACTTGGGCTACATACCAGAGGAGGGCTCTGTAGTTCTACTCCAGCCGCATTTCTTCCTGGACCAGCCTGCTGCTGGGGAGAGGGGCTGACTGCCGACTCCCTGGAGCCATGAAGACATGGGAGGTGCCAGTCAGAGGCCAGCGGCGTTCTGCTGTTGCCAGTGCCTCAGTTGGGGACCCCCACATCCTCCTCTCTGGCTGACTGTTGGGGTGGTAGGACAACTTCCTCTGCTTCCAACTCCTCGATCTGTTGTTGGGAGAAAAAGGATGAACACCTCTTCCCCTGAATGGAGCATGGCTTCCTCCTCTCCCTGCACCTTGGCTTGTTGCTGGGGAGGGAAGATGGCTGAGCTGGATGCCCAGTCTCCTTAAGACCCATCCAGCTACGAAGACCACATCTCCCTGGCACAGTCTTCCAGGGGCAAGGACCCTTGCTGTGAAGGGGAGATGGCTTCCTCCACTCCTGGGTCATTGTACTGCCGCTGGGGAGATGAGCCGGCTGCTTCATTTCCCAGATCCCTGTCCTGCTGCTGGACAGATGCATTCCTCCATCCAAGCTTGTCCTGTGCAGAAACAGGTTTGTCAGAGTAAATCAATACTTGCGGCATCCGCCATAGGAGCTCCGCTTCCACAGCTGTGGGTGGAGGTAGGCAAAGCACACTGTTACTCTAGATAGATTTAAAGTAGAATGGTCATATGGCCATATTAGGGCAATGAGCATCCCCGCTCCTATGTGTACATATAGCTGGAGGGTGGGGTTCATTGACCTGGCACTGAAAGCAGCCTTCTGGGTTTGGCTGAACCCAACCTTATCTCTAATGCACATATTTATTCCAGGTAGCACCCACATTTTCTATGATGACAGCTTCCTTAAAGCCTAAATATAATTAAATAAAGAGGGAAAAAAAAAAAAAAAAAAAAAAAAAAATCAGAAGGTACTTTGAGTATGGATTGAGTGAGAAGTGTCCCTTGTGCTGGTGATTGGTCTCTTAGTTAAAATACTTCATCCTTTGCCCGCTGTCCTGCCCCCCCACCTCACACAACCCCAAAGCAGTAATCCCAGAGGTTAATACAGGACATTGGACCTGTCTTAGTCACTTGTCAAAAGTGCCGATTACATGGTTACATAGCCTGGCTGAAAAAAAGACAAAAAAGTCTATCCAGTTCAGCCATAGAAAAAAAAAAGTTATAATCCTATACCCACAGTTGATCAAGAGGAAGGCAAAAAAACCCCCAGCAAAGCATGATCCAATTTTGCTCCTGCTGGGAAAAAAATTCCTTCCTGATCCCCCGAGAGGCAATTGGATATTCCCTACATCAACTTTAACTATAAAATGTTAGTATCCAGTTATATTCTGTGTATCTAAGAAACAATCCAGGCCTTTTTTGAAGCAATCCACTGAGCTGGCCAGAGCCAACTCTTGAGGGAGTCTATTCCATATTTTCACAGCTCTTACTGTGAAGAAACCTTTCCGTGTTTGGAAATTAAATTTCTTTTCATCCAAAACGTAAAGAGTGCCCCCTTGTCCACTGTGATGACCTCAGGGTGAATAGCTCTACACAGAGTTCACTATATGAACCACTGATGTATTTATACCTGTTGATCATATCCCCCCTTAATCTCCTCTTCTCAAGAGAATACATTCAGTTCCTCTAATCTTCCCTCATAGCGGAGCTCCTCCATGTCTCTTATCAGTTTAGTTGCCGTTCTCTGTACTTTCTCCATTTCCCCAATGTTCTTTTTATGAATTGGTGCCCAAAACTGAACTGTATATTCCAGATGAGAAACTGCAGCTTGGCATTGCTTGCCATTATTAAGCTTGTGATCTACCAGAACTCCCAGATCCTTCTCCATCATTGATTCCCCGAGTTGTACCCCCCATAGTATGTATGATGCATGCATATTCTTAGCCCCCAAGTGCATAACCTTACATTTATCAACATTAAACCTCATTTTTCCACATAGTTGCCCAATCAAACAGTGCATTGAGGTAAGTTGAAGACATCCTGTAAGGACGTTATTCCACTGCACAGCTTGGTGTCATCTGCAAAGACTGAAATGGGATTCTTAATCTCAGACCCTATATCATTTATAAATATGTTAAAAAGTAAGGGTCCCAACACTGAACCCTGGGGTACACCAAATTATGTCCACCCTTTCTGCTCTCTCCTCCATATATAGAAGTTGCACTATAGTTTCCAGTAATTAACCTCTTGCCGACCGCGCATAGCCGAATGACTGCTTCACCGCGGCCGGCCAGTTCTGAGTGGACGTCATATGACGTCCTCCCAGAACGCGCTCTCCTGCGCGCCCCAGGGGGCGCGCACCCGGCGATCTCCGTGATCGCTGTGTCCTACGGACACAGCTGATCACGAGATGTGGTAAAAGGCCGATCATACCGGCCTTTTACCACGTGATCAGCGGTGTCCAATGGCACGCTGATCACAGGGAAATGCAAGTGCCGGTTCTCGGTTGCACTTTCCTCACGCTGTCAGATCGTGAGGAAAGTACTGCCGAGAACCGGCAGTTGTCAGAGCGGGGATCGGCACCGATCATCAGGGCACTGATGATCAGTGCCCTGATGATCGGTGCCCAGCAGTGACACCCGCAAGTTCCGCCCAGCAGTGCGCCCACTAGCTCCGCCCACCCCGTGCCCAGCAGTGCCCCCACCTGTGCCCAGCAGTGCCCCCACCTGTGCCACTCTGCAGTGCCACCTACCTGTGCCCAGAAGTGCCACCTACATGTGCCCACCCACCTGTGCCCACCAGTGCCACCCACCTGTGCCCACCAGTGCCACCCACCTGTGCCCACCAGTGCCACCCACCAGTGCAGCCCAGCAGTGCTGCCAGTCAGTGCCCACCAGTCAGTGCCCAGGGGTTGTGCCAGTCAGTGCCGCCAGTCAGTGCCCAGCAGTGATGCCAGTCAGTGCCGTCTATCAGTACCCATAATCAGTGTCACCTATCAGTGCCGCCTATCCGTGCCACCTCATTAGTACTGCCTATCAGTGCCCTTTAGTGCTGCCTATCAGTGCCCATCAGTGCCGCCTATCAGTGCCCATCAGTGCCGCCTCATCAACGCACATCAGTGAAGGAGAAAAAATACCTGTTTGAAAAATTTTATAAAAGAAACAAATAAACTTTTTTTTTTTTTTTTCAAATTTTTTGCACTTTTTTTATTTATAGCGCAAAAAGTAAAGCGCCCAGTGGCGATTAAATACCACCAAAAGAAAGCTCTGTTGGTGAGAAAAAAATGATCAAAATTTCATATGGGTACAATGTTGCATGACCGCGCAATTGTCAATCAAAGTGCGGCAGCGCTGAAAGCTGAAAATTGGCCTGGTAAGGAAGGGGGTATAAGTGCCTGGTAGGCAAGTGGTTAAAAGAGTTCTAGGAATGAAGGATGGGTAGATAAATGAAAAGGTCCACCTCCTCCATTCATAGAGTACTTTTCAATGCTGGAACATATAATACAGCAGAAAAGGACAGGCATTGTGTTGGTACCCCCTCCCCTGCAGCACAGAACATTATAACTATGTGGGTGGATGGGAAGGCAAGGACGGAAGATTTCAACTAAAGCGGACCATAGATGGATTGAAATATGGCCAGTTCATCGGGGACCAGCCACATTTTGATCCATGTGTTTGACAGAAGTTGATTGGAATGTCCCACTGCCAGAATACAATGTTCCAACGGAGAGGATTCCTCTATTCACATTGCTTGTATAAATCTAGGAATCAGTTTTTTTTTTTTTACCCATCAACTTAGGACAACAGCCACCAGCACAAGGGACACACTTCTCATTGAATATATGTACTGTACCTTGTGCTAATTTTTTTAGGCTTTAAAATGATCATGAAATAGAGATACAAAAACAACTAAAAAAAAACACATAAATGTGTTATGTTACTGTGTTAATAACACCAAATATTACACCCGGCATAACTACAGATATCATCTAGCCAAAATAAATTTTTACATAAATTACACATAGGTGTTGATAGGGAAATTGCCTATTACATATTTTCTTATTAATATTGTGGCTCACTAATGATCAAGCATGCCTTCCAAGCCTTGGTTAAAGGGCTATACAGAAGTATTGGAAACTAACTATAGGGACCGGGCAAGCCAGACCACTAACTAAGCTATCATTCTTAGAAGGTCATCATGTGGTTTGCATTGGGGGGCTGGACATTCCCTACATACAAGTCTAGTATATAGCACACAGCTAAGCTGGAAATATTTAGTCTCATCTTCAGAGCTTGCAATCATGCACGTGTCTGTGGTCATCTATGCCATGGGGGGACTCCGTGGCAAAACAGCATCTTTATTTAAGTAGTCTTGTTATATTTTCTAATATTTGTTTATCTGTATCTGTCATTACTTTTATTAAATGTTATACTTATAAGTAAGTGTGTGATCTCTCTTTGCACATATTGAATACAACCCCAAAAACGCAACAAGAGGTGTGTAACAATGTGAATATGTTCCTGTGTGCTGTAATTTTTATTTCTTACCAGTAAGAAAAAGAGAGAAAAGTAACCTTCCTTCCAACATTATATTAGCACATCTAGCATCGGATCTTTACCTAGCATACCAGGTTCTGACCAAACAGTGGGACCAGGAGGTGCTTGGGCTGCACTATATGGAGGTCCTGGATAAGGAGGTGGAGGTGCCATGTACATTGGGTTCAACTCAGGTGGATACATACCAGGACCTGAACAAGAGATAAAATGAACATATAAATACAGAGATATGCTGTATGTAGCACAGGTCTAGACAAATCATTGTAGGATTCAGATACCACTCTCTAATTTAATAGTGAGCGGGTTGTATTAAGTAGACTGGGAATATCTATTTCCACAGACAACAGAAGAAGCCTGAAAAGAGTTAGGATCCAGATGTTGTTTTAGCTATGTTGGGTAACAGGTTTCAGGTGTTTGTTCTGCCTCAGGATATCGTGTATCAGAACAGTGCTAGAGTCCCTGCACACAATACACATTTATGAACACTGGATCTTGTTGACAAGAAGTTCCTGCGCAAAAAAATGCGAGCATGGTCAATGCACATTTTACATGCGTATAAAAATTATTCTAGTTATATTATAATCAGGGAAAGGTGCGATTTACACACATAAAATATTGACCACTAACACAGATTTATTTTTTTTTTTGTCAATTAATTGAATGTGGCGCACATTTTCTACATTTTCATGTATGTCAGCACAGGCCCATTTAAAGCAATGGGCTGCATTCAGATCAGTAGAAAAAATAAAATGCCTCATTCTTAGGCCCCTATAGGCTGGTGGATGTAAATGGATTTGCACCTGTTTACAACAGCATGCCTCCTATTAGATCAGAACTGCTAAAAAAAGAACACAACCCCCCCACAAAAAAAAAAAAAACAGAAGGGGATCAGGGATTGGATGGCATTCATTTGTAAATGGACAGAGGAGTCCATTTACTCCCAGCCAACCATTGAGCAGAACAGGTTCTGTCCGTGTCCACTCTGCCCTGTGTGAAAGTGGACTTAATCTCTTGCTGCCAGCAATCTTTTTATTAGTGTATAGGTTAATAAACACCTTAACTTTTGAGTGCCAGCAACCTTGCGACTGACAGATGGGGTCTCCAGTGATGACCAGGAACCAGAGTGGTTCCTTATGTTATCATCGTGAGCAGCATTGTTCTATTACTGGAACGCTTTCTTGTTGGTCTGAGCATCCATATTGAATTTTGAGAACTTTATAGTGTCGCACTAGCATAGATTCATAAATATAAATGTTATATATAATGAATAAAATAAATAATTTCTGTATTTTGATACAGACGATCACATTACTAATGACATGGAATTCTTTTGTGGCACCGAGTGTAGAAAGCAAATAAAAGTTACTATATGAAAACAACCCTAGTTTTTGACCATGCCTTTATAGTTAGTTTGAGAACTTACTGGACAACTCTTGCACTTCAACGTTTATATTATATATACACACACACACCGGCCACTTTAGTAGGTACACTTGTTCAATTGCTTGGTAAACTGCCAATCACATGGCAGCAACTCAATGCATTTAGGCATCCAGACATGGTGAAGATGACTTGAAGTTCAAACCGAGCATCAGAAAGGGGATTTAAGTGACTTTGAAAGTGGCATGGTTGTTGGTGCCAGATGGGCTGGTATGTGCATTTCAAAAACTGCTGCTTTACTGGGATTTTCACGCACAACCATCTCTAGGGTTTACAAAGAATGGTCCAAAAAAGAGAAAATATTCAGTGAGTGGCAGTTGTGTGGATGAAAATGCCTTGTTGATGTCAAAGATCAAAGGAGAATGGGCAGACTGGTTACATAGTTATTATATAACAACCCACCTCCCAAATACTTATATACTTATTATATAGTTCCCACACACTCTAATCAACACCTTCCCCTGAAGATGTATAAATCATATATTAGTTAATAAGTGTAGATAAACCTATTATCCCAAATAATCAAAAATCCCCCAAAGTCATAATCATCCAAAAAATAGTCAATGTCCACTACAAATATTGCAATCCAAAATAATATTCAAAATAATAATCCACTCCAAAAAGATGAACCGCACTTCTTTCACCGCATCCACCTCAAAAAAAGAAAACTCATAGTGTATTACCCTTTTTTTTAAATCTAAATCAATCCACTTACTATGGATTATATATATAACATATAGTGACTCAGTGAACCAAGTGAAAAAAAAAATCAGTGAAAAAGTGAAAAACGGTGATTAATCAGTGAAAAATTAAATAAATATAACATTCTTTTGTGCCACAGCAAAATCCAAAAACAACTCAAGACCGGTGTCCACTTCTATTTAAATCAAGGTACCCTTACCAACCATCCACATAACATATGCCTATCTCACTCCAGGAACTGTATGGACCAGATATCCTGTGGATCAAAGGTGTATCCTGATACCACGATATCCTCTAGAATCCTCTGGTATTCTGCTCTTAGTATCTCCAAGACAGCAAATAGACCAACATAGTATAATACCGCCAGACTAATAAACAGTATGTAATTTATTTATAAAACTGCTCACATTGTATACTTGTAAAAATCGCTTTAAAATAGTGGAAGGAGTCTCACAGCCATCCGGAACAGCGTCCAGGGACTCCTGCACGTTCCTTTCCCTTCTCCAAAATGGCCGCCGGTCAACTTCCGGTTCCGGTAAACGTGTTGACGTCACTCTCCCTTGACGCGTTTCGTCATCGACTTAATCATAAGGGGTGTGACCGTCACGCAGAGGAGTCCGATTTATACCCCTCCTCATCCTTACAGCGAGAATCCAACCGCCATATTTAAAAATGGAAAAATGCCAGTAATGTCCGATAAATCCTTATATATTAGAAGATCTGCAGATGCAACTTCTTACATCTGCAGTCTACATCTGGGACATCACTACCACTATCCCAAAACGTTATGTAAATGAGTACATATTAGCTCATCAGCATATCTATAGGTAACTCACCTAATCTATACACATTATTACCATTACAACCATATATAGTAGAACCATATATTCCATATGAAATTCCTCCATATATACTTCTATGCATAATACCCCTATAGTTAATATAAAAATCACCCCAAAAATACATATAATAAAATAGATTAGATCAACCCTAGTACTACTTTAAACCCCTCTTATTTTTCTTATTATTATTATATGTTTTTAAAATTAGTATAGAGAGAGGCGAAATATTTAGTTCAAAACCACTGTAAAATGCCTATCATATATTATTTGCCAAAAATACATAAAAATTTGATTAACCCTCCTGGCAGACCCATCATAAATGGCATTGGATCAATACACTCTAGAACTGGAGAATATGTTGATCTTTTTCTTCAGCCAATAGTTAAACAAATGCCTTCCTATTTGAAGGATGCGCAAGAAGTGATCGATTTGGTAGAATTGAGGAAAACCACTAATAATACCATATTGGTAACAATTGACAAACTCTTTATATACAAATATTAAACAGGAGGAAGGGTTGAAAGCGGTTAAATGGGGTCTAAAGACTTTTACAGATCTACATAGGAAACAGAGGAGATTTATTGTAAAATTGTTGGATTTTTGTATGAACAAAAATTATTTTTGGTATGGAGGTTGCTTTTATGAACAAAAGTAAGGAGCAGCAATGGGCGCGAAATTCGCGCCCAGTTTGGCGAATATCTTTTTAAGTAAATGGGAGGAGAAAGTAGTTTTTAGTAAGAAGTGGGAAGGTTTGGTTCTATGGAAAAGATATATTGATGACATCTTGATGATCTGGGAGGGCTCAGAGGCCTCTTTGAAAACGTTTATCGAAGTATTAAATAAGAATGAACATGATTTGGGTTTAACTGTGAATATGGATAACCGTTCAGCTAATTTTTTAGATTTAAATATTTTTATCGAAGATAATGTGATGTATACAAAAACGTATTTTAAAGAAACTGATAGGAACGGTTACATCCCTACACAGAGCTGCCATCATCCGACTTGGATAAATGGTATTCCAAAAGGACAATTTTTAAGAATATTACGTAACTGCAGTAGGTTAAAGGAATATATAGAACAGACGGAAATAATTAAGGGCCGTTTTATAGAGAAAGGCTATAATCCTGAGACATTGGAAAAACTAAGATTTGAAGTAAGCAAAAACTATATAGGGGATAAAAGGTGTAGACCGGTATCTCATAAACAGAAAAATGACAAGGTAGAATACGCTTTTGTCTCAGACTATAATAGTCAATATAGGGATATGGAATCCATTATATTTAAATATTGGCCTCTTTTAAGAAAAGATCCAGTTCTAGGACAAAAGATTCCCAGTAAGCCCCCTTTCATTTACAGGAAATCTAGGAATCTAAGAGATATTTTGGTAAGGAATATTTTATCTCCTCCTAAGACTAAGAAAAAATCTATGTTTGATCTTATTGGATTTTTCCCGTGTAGGAAGTGTAGTATCTGTAAAGTCACCAATATGAAAACAAGAAAGATTTTGGATTTCACTTCATGCCGTACGGGTTTTAGTTTCAAAATCAAGGAGTTTATTACATGTACAACTGCTTTTGTTACATATTTATTGGAATGCCCATGTCGGCTCCAATATGTGGGAAGAACGTCCAGGCCTCTTCATAAAAGGTTGGGTGAACATGTCACCAATATTAAAAATGGGAAAAAAAGATCATTGTCTTTCAAGACATTTTAAGGAATACCATAATTGTGATCCGAGTGGCCTGAGATTCTGTGGGATCGATAAGATTGAAACACATTGGAGGGGGGGGGGGGGGGGGGGTGATAAAATCAAGGCCATTTCCAAAAATGAAATGTCTTGGATTTTTGAGTTACAGACTATGAAACCAAGGGGCCTAAATGTAGATCTAGACCTGAATTGTTTTATTTCCAATTTTTAGTGTCATTATGTATAACGTAAGAGGGGGTTTAGAAAGCCTAATGTTAGTATTGTTTTTATGAGGATGATTATTTTATATAAAATAGAAATTAATTTAATTAAGGATATAAGTATGAAATAGTGTATATAATCACCACAATAATAATGTTTTGGAGGATTATATTATTATTGATTAAAATATAGATTTATAGATATTTATTAAGTATTGTAGAATATTATAATTTTAATGATAAATTAATTTGTTTTTCTGGGATAGGTAGAGTTCTTTTTTAATGGGGAGTTTTAATGGGATAATAGTGTTAATAAAAATCAATCTTTTTCTGTGGGTGGGTAGGTTTGTTTTTAGAACAATGAGATTTAATGTGTTAGGAGGCTACTGATTTGCTATTTGGTATATAATAAATTTGGGAAATAATTTTAAAAAAATTATACTAATTTTAAAAAACATATAATAATAATAAGAAAAATAAGAGGGGTTTAAAGTAGTACTAGGGTTGATCTAATCTATTTTATTATATGTATTTTTGGGGCGATTTTTATATTAACTATAGGGGTATTATGCATAGAAGTATATATGGAGGAATTTCATATGGAATATATGGTTCTACTATATATGGTTGTAATGGTAATAATGTGTATAGATTAGGTGAGTTACCTATAGATATGCTGATGAGCTAATATGTACTCATTTACATAACGTTTTGGGATAGTGGTAGTGATGTCCCAGATGTAGACTGCAGATGTAAGAAGTTGCATCTGCAGATCTTCTAATATATAAGGATTTATCAGACATTACTGGCATTTTTCCATTTTTAAATATGGCGGTTGGATTCTCGCTGTAAGGATGAGGAGGGGTATAAATCGGACTCCTCTGCGTGACGGTCACACCCCTTATGATTAAGTCGATGACGAAACGCGTCAAGGGAGAGTGACGTCAACACGTTTACCGGAACCGGAAGTCGACCGGCGGCCATTTTGGAGAAGGGAAAGGAACGTGCAGGAGTCCCTGGACGCTGTTCCGGATGGCTGTGAGACTCCTTCCACTATTTTAAAGCGATTTTTACAAGTATACAATGTGAGCAGTTTTATAAATAAATTACATACTGTTTATTAGTCTGGCGGTATTATACTATGTTGGTCTATTTGCTCTCTTGGAGATACTAAGAGCAGAATACCAGAGGATTCTAGAGGATATCGTGGTATCAGGATACACCTTTGATCCACAGGATATCTGGTCCATACAGTTCCTGGAGTGAGATAGGCATATGTTATGTGGATGGTTGGTAAGGGTACCTTGATTTAAATAGAAGTGGACACCGGTCTTGAGTTGTTTTTGGATTTTGCTGTGGCACAAAAGAATGTTATATATTTAATTTTTCACTGATTAATCACCGTTTTTCACTTTTTCACTGATTTTTTTCACTTGGTTCACTGAGTCACTATATGTTATATATATAATCCATAGTAAGTGGATTGATTTAGATTTAAAAAAAAAGGGTAATACACTATGTGAGTTTTCTTTTTTTGAGGTGGATGCGGTGAAAGAAGTGCGGTTCATCTTTTTGGAGTGGATTATTATTTTGAATATTATTTTGGATTGCAATTTTTGTAGTGGACATTGACTATTTTTTGGATGATTATGACTTTGGGGGATTTTTGATTATTTGGGATAATAGGTTTATCTACACTTATTAACTAATATATGGTTACATAGTTAGTCTCTCTGAAAAAAAGACAAAAGTCCATCCAGTTCAACCATTAAAAAAAAAAGTTATAATCCTATACCCACAGTTGATCCAGAGGAAGGAAAAAAAAACCCAGCAAACCATGATCCAATTTGCTCCTGCAGGGGAAAAAATTCCTTCCTGATCCCCGGAGAGGCAATTGGATATTCCCTGCATCAAAAATTGTTCGATCTGGTATTATATGAGAAAAATTTTCGCACTTGTCCCTTTGGATATTGTTGCACAAATTGTCGTCATCAGCCTCAAAAGCTTGTAAAAACAGTTACATAGTTAACCCGACATTCAAATAGTAGGGTCAGCATTTAGCGAAAACAACATGAAAGCATGGATCCATCCTGCCTTGTATCAACGGTTCAGGCTGCTGGTAGTGGTGTAATGGTGTGGGGGATATTTTCTTGGCACTAGCAAGGTGTACCTAATAAAGTGGCCAGTGAGTGTATAACATTTTGGTAAAGAACTCACTTTGTCTCTCTGCTCTAAATAATTGGAGCACAAGTCGGTGCTCCAAGTGTCGGTCACTGCCGACATAATTTCTTTCAACTCAAGTGCTGTACTGTTTCATTACCTTGAGGTGGAGCATATGGATATCCCATGGGCTGAGGTGCTGGAGCATATCCATTCATAGTAGGGGGTACATATGGGTAAGGTCCAGCTGAGAGTGCAGGTGCATAACCTCCTGGGGCAGGGGGATATCCACCAGGTCCATAAGCACCTGGAACAGCAGTAGGGGTGTATCCGTATCCAACATTAGGAGGTTGTGGTGCTCTGGAAGCTGAATACATCAAAAGATATTTAGGACAGAAAATTAGGCTTAACAATCAATAACAAGCAACCAGATTTTAGTTTCTTTCATTTAGAAAAGTAAACACAATGAAAGCCAGACCGACATGATATGGAATACATAATATACATTATAATAAAACATACCATTGGTTGCCAATTTAAACATTTGTTGTCCAAACTCAATTGCACCTCCACTGTTAAAGGTAAGTTTAAATGATGCCTGTGCTTCCCATCCACCTGTATTGAGAGTATAAGGTTGGCATGAATAAAGATGATGGAACAAAAAACACGAAAACACAAATACAACACAATCCTACTGCTGAAGCTGGTTGGAAGGAAAGGTAGAGATTTATTGCCTCTTGTGGCACTCCTAGATTAACATATACGGGCTGAGTGATAAACAGATTTGTCCTTTTTGATTTGCAGCTATTTAGTTTCAAGTGCTTTTGAGTTGGATCTCAGTTTTCAATTGACTTTCTGCTCGTCTTGAAGAATGTTTCTGTAACTTGGAACCTTCTTTTGGATCCATAGGTAAATAGAGAGTGGGGTGCCAAGTGATGAAATGCTCTCTGAGTTCCAGCACTGCATGTTGAGTGCAGTGAGCTCTGAAGAAGTATGGAAGAAACACCATGGGAACCTGTGTTTGGGTAACCACTGAGCACCAATGCTGTGAGTTATCATTGTACCCACAGTGAAGAGGGAGGTCATTTGTATCCCGCTGACACCAGTAAAGAGGAGAGGTAATTATAGTACACGCCGACACAAAATGCAAAGGCGCGGGGGGGGGGGGGGGGGGGGGGGGGGGATATTATTGTAACCAGTAATATGAGTGAAGAGGGGGAGTGGGGTCATTATTGTACTCACTGACAGTAATGAAGAGGGGAAGGGGGGGGAAATTATTGTACACTCTGACACCAGTAAATGGGGGGGGGGGGGTGTTTGTTATATTGTATCCCGTGACACGAGTGAGTATTTATTAGTAACTCCACTGACATCGATAAAGGGGAGCCAGAGATGATGAATGGGATTTTATTATTGCTGCCACTGACAAAAATGCTGAGGATTATTATTGCTGCCACTGACAACAATGAAGGGGGGTGCTATGAGCTGAGCGGCTATGAGCTGAATGCCACTTCCCATAAACCCTTTGATGGTTGAATCTGTGACAGCATGTTGTTTCTATACAGGCTGGTATGAGAAGGAGATACAGAGGCAAGCAGAGTGTCGCAGAGGATGGGCCTTTCTGGTTTTATTATGATAAATATGGCTATTGTCTAATATTTTTTATTTTTTTTAAAAGGAGGATGATTAAGATGAGGCCCTTCACTTGAATAAAGGTTTAGGTAGCTCAAAAGGCACATTTTCTAGGGCTCTGTTTAGTAAGACTGCTTATTTCATTGCACTCCTCCTCTCTTCATCCTGAATATAGCAGGAGGACGTACCAAGCATTTAATGAGTAGCCCCAGAAACTCAAGGACGACCGTTCAGCTTCGTTCCCTACCCAAACATTTGCAGTGTGATCCCTCTTGTGGCTCAGCATCTGACAGAGTGAAAGAGAAAGGACTGCGCACACATGGATAGGAAAAAAAGCAATCAGTAGGACAAAGAGGGGATGGCAACAGAATAAGACGCTTAACAACTAAGAATTCTTTTACTAAACGGAGCACTGCATTTTAATGTACTGACCATGCTGTAAAGCATAGGCACGGTTTTTTTTACAAAAGTCATTAAAAGGTAAACTTTTAGCTTTGGATCTGCGTAGCAGAGCAGTTTTTGGTCAGCTATTTGAGTCTTGACCTATTTTTTAGCATTAGTGCATGCTAAATACAAATATTGATCATTTCTAGTTAGATTGCACATCATTTTCTGAAACCTGAAGTGGAAAAAAAAGTAAAAAGGAAGATGCATATACTTACCTATTCTCAGAACATTCTGGTCCAATAATGTAATCTCCCCAGCAGCCGGCTTCAGCAAACAGGAGAGAATACCAACAACGGATGGAATGCCTAAGTGTTGATGTCACCCATAAGCTTACAATGGAGCATCCGTTAGCGGCTGTCCTCTCCCCTGAAGCTGTCCGCTGGGAGCTGATTACGTGACTGGACCACAGCGCCCTGAGAATAGACAAATATATGTATCTTCCTTTTACAGGGCAGCTAGTATTAGAAGGGGGGTGGAAGCAGTTTTAAGCTTAGTTAGTTCTAGCCTGGAATTCCACTTTCCAATGTAACTTCTTAATAATGCAGAAACTATCCCCAATTAACTTATTTTCCCAACAATACTTTTTCTTTAACTTTTAAGGCCGCATTCACATGAGCGTACATCAGTGCGAAGGCCATGTTTTGCTTGCACAGGATGCACAAAACTGTTCCATGTGTCCTCATGCAGGTAATCCCATTCATGTCAATTGGAATGCAGCTGCTACACAGACACAGCCCGCTGCTTCCAGTTTGACATCCATGTAGGTGTGAGTTCACGTCCCTAAACTCACATTATCTGCATTTGGGGAACTGCAAGGATGTTAAATTTGCAGCCGTGGCTATGTTCATGCAGTGTCTGTGTTCAAATTGACATGAATGGGACTGCCTGCATGCAGATGCACAGATCACCTTTGCAGGCAAAACACTGCACTTTGCATGGATACACACTTAAGTACGCCTGCGTGGATAAGGCCTTAGCATTAATCTAATTTGTTTGTAATTTTGAAGTGTAAACTACAAATTAAAAAAAAAAAAAAAAAAAATCCTCAGTTTTATATGCGAGTAACATTTCTACATTTTTTTACTAGAAAGAAAGTCTCACTTTAACATCATTAATAATAATGTTATTGCCGACTTTAAAGCCCTACAACTGAAATGTGAAAACAGCTTTGCGGCTTAGCTAGATGAGGACAGTAGATGTCTACCATTACCCCATGGGAAGTGTCAGCTTATGTCACTTACGTACCCCCGGGTTCTGCACTTATTATTCCTTTGATGTAGTTTGCAGAGAAAACAGGCTGTTCAATAGAGCATCCCTTCACCAAGTAGAAAGGCATCATAAATGACATCATTGGATCCTTTCCTTTGCTCACAAAGATTACCTGAAAAAGAGTTAGAACTATAAAAAGTGGAAGATACATTCCTATCGCTAAATATAATGGATGAGAACAATAGGGCCCCATTCACACCTGCAAGTTCCGGAATGCATGAAAAAAAGTGTGTCCTGCTTGCGGTGCCATTAATTTATAAAAAGAAAAAATAAATAAATATTGCACAAACCGAAACACAGCAAAATGCTTCATAAGCTACTTTGCCTTGCTTGCTGCGTGTAGGGTAGCCCATTCAAAAGAACTGGCTGCCCTATGCTGTCACATAAACACATGCATTACCACAAAGTGCAGGTATGAATGGGGCCAAGTACATTGCTCAAAAAAGTTAAAGGAACACTTTTTAATCAGCGTATAGCATCAAGTCAATTAAACTCCTGGGATATTGATCTGGTCAGTTAAGTAGCGGGGGGGGGGGGGGGGGGTGGTTTTTAATCTGTTTCACCTGCTTAGGCGTTAATGAAATTAACAACAGGTGCCCTAGATGGACAACAATGAGAGGACCCCCAAAACAGAAATGGTTTTACAGGTAGAGGCCACTGACATTGTTTTCCCTATTCCTCTTTTCTGACCGTTTTTCCTGTTTTCACTGGTTTTGCATTTGGTCAGTGTCACTACTGGCAGCATGAGGCCATACCTGGACCCTACAGAGGTTACACAGGCAGTCCAACTCCTGTAGGATGTCACGTCAATACATGCCATTGCCAGAAGGAGGTGAGCGTGCATCGCAGCTGATTTTGGATACCTTCCTGTCACTTGATACACCTAAACATCCACCGTCACGAGGAGTTTTCACCCTATAGGAATTCATGGTGTTCTTTCACCACACTGGACACTTTATTTATATTGAAGCAAACGCATATTCAGTTTTATGCGTTTTTTGTTGATATATTTGTTGTGTGTGCACGTTATGTGTTTTTCATCACACGTTATTTTAGGTGTGTTATATTATTTTTGGTATATTGTTTGGATTATTTTGGTAGATTGGAGGAACTTTTTATATGCAGTAAGTGCATTTGGGTTTGTCAGCACTTGAGCACTATTGATTTACTAGTCCCATTTGGACTCTTTGAAAAAGTTTTTTTCTTCCCATCACTTCCGGATCCAATTTAGGATCATTTGGGGCACAATAGATGCATTAGTCCCATTTGGACTTTTCTTGGCACATTTATGACCCAGGAGGTTCATATTACACACACTGTTGTGCGAGTGTTGTTGGCACTTTTTAGATGTGTATTCTTTCATCGTTTATGGGTTATTCACTTCATTATTTGACCTCTTCTTGAAGGCAGCGCCTGAGTGGTTGTATCACTATGCATGTTTTTGTTCTCACTTATATTGTAAACTTATGGAATGTTGTTATAATATCACTATGAGACATTTTATTATTGTGTATTTGTGACTGTGTGTTTCACATTTCTTGCTACTAGTATTAGCGCTACATCATTTTTGCATTATTCACGTATAGATCATTAGGTATATGATTGGATGTTGGCAGCTGTACCTCCATTTTTTTACTCTTATTATTCTAGGGATTTAGATAGGAGTGCAGGTTACTTCACTCTGGGATATCATGTTTTTGTCCATCCGATGCCACCAGGTTGCACCTCAGACTGTCCAGGAGCTCAGTGATGCCCTGGTCCAGATCTGGGAGGAAATACCCCAGGACACCATCTGTTGTCTCATTTGGAGCATGCCCCAACGTTGTCAGGCATGCATACAAACACGTGGGGGCTGTACAAACTACTCAGTGCCATTTTGAGTTGCTGCAAGGAAATTTCAGCACAATGGACTAGCCTGCTGCATAATTTTTCACTGTGATTTTCGGGGGGGGGGGGGGGGGGGGGGGGTCTTTGAATTCAGTCCTCAGTAGGTTGATAACTTTCATCAAACGATGGGGCATCCCTATGTTCCTAACACATTACCCAGTCCATATCAGTATAGATATCCAGCATGATATTTTTCCCCATTGAGATCTGATGTGTTTTCAAAGTGGTCCTTTAATTTCTTTGAGCAGTGTATAAGAACTGTTGTACGATTTGGGTACAACCGGCCCGTCAGATTTTTCATGTGATTTTTGCCAGTGGCTATAGCTGCTAGCAATAATCACTGTGTTCTCCCAGCAGGGGCGGCTCCCCCCTGCTGGAAGAACACAATAGCTCAGTGGAGGGGATTCCCCCATCAACACTGACTGTGTGGATAAGGGAATTGAGCGATATTTTTCCTGCAAGAAAACTGTATCGTCTAAAGCCAGTTTTAGCTACATGCAGTATACAGCACTGTGGTCCTGCAGCGGTACGAGGACTTTCGGTCTGCTGCCAGAACAAAAGTTGGGCTGAGAACGTCTTAGCTGGAAGCTTTGTATTTTAACAATGAATACAAGATTTTCTCTATATTGCGGAGGTGGAGATTATGACATCATCTGTCCACCTCTCCATCTCAACCATATTCGTTTTTTTTTTTTCTGGAAGCAGACAGGAAGTCTCTGTACTGCTGTGGGAACACAGTGCTGTATACTGTATGTACTGTAGCTGATGCTCCATATAGTTTACACAGTGCTAACTGTGGCTGCCTGAATTAGTAAATAGGATAGGAAAGCCGGAGTTCGGCTTTTAGCAGTTATATTGGGTTGCCATTTAAAATTAAAAGGCCAGTTGACTGGCTGACATGCTTAATTAATAATTACAGTGCTTTTGTTGTTTCTGACCTGGGACAAATAATGAGATTATTCTGCTAAATAAATGAAACTGACAAGAGTTTTCCTGCAATGCACAGTGTAAGTTCAACTGAAAAGATTTCATTTTTGGTAGACTTACCCTATATGGAGTGAGATACAGCAAGCCCTTTTTGGTGCCTTTAAATGCGTCCATCTTGTAAGCCAGATCACTGAATGTGAGTTCCACATCTTTGCACATTTTAATAACACTAGGGGAGGAAAAAGAAATGTTGCGATTAGTTGGTCCGGCAAGACATAAAGCAACAGGTTATCTTGCATGAAATCTGCGCTAAGAGAAACTGCTATTGCTGAAAATGCCATTTGTGTGGCTGCTATGTTAATCCAATGGCTTCAATAGTCTAAGTCACTGACCCAGGAAAACCACAGATTATAAAAGTTAAAAAGTGAAGTCAGAACTATCAATATTTGCTCCAGGTTCCCGACATCATCGTTTCAGCATGACAGCCAGGCAACTAGTAATTTCAGAAGCAATAGTAGTTTCTAAAATAGACCTGTGTTGATAAAAATACTGAGGTTGTCCTTGCTGACCTCCCTCTGAAATGCTAATTGTGTGGCTGTCCTGCTTGAGGTATGGAAAAACTTTTTTTTGGCCACACTCTATTGGGTCACAGGAATGCATTTACTTTGGACTCCTTGGACCTGGATTCAGCTAATAGGTGGGCTATTGCCTGCTATCAGCTGACATGGCAAAGCCATGCCAAGTTTGGGAAGGATCCCGACAATGTTGTCAGGATCCACCCATTTGCTTGATTGACAGCTGGCTCCACCTTTCAGTTCATGGCGGATAGCTGGAGCCAGACGCACCATACTTGCCCTGCCCCCTTGACAGCCTGTGCCCTGGGGAGACAGTTCGGGGTGCAGTGATGGACAATCACTATTATCTGCTCTAAGCAGAGTGAGAGCTGAGCTATCAGCGGTCATGTGAACTGCCAGTTCTCCATCTCAGAGCCAGCATAGAGGTATGAACATATATTTGTTGTTTTATACCAACCCCAGCATTCTCTGTTATTCCATGGTTTCACCACATTCAATGGTGACAGTGACTGATGTAGAACAAGCACACAGTGAACAACATAGGACGCCCTGATCAGCTGCTTTCTCCATGTGATGACTGGTCATGTGACATGTGCACAACTTCTCCCAACAGATAACGAGCAACAGCAAAGCTCAAAATCAATAATAATGGCAGCTACAAGCCAGGCTGTGACCTCCAATCACTGTCCACTCACAGTCCGATCCCTTTATAATGTATATTATCAGGACTGAGGAACTACAGGGGGCAGTGTAGCCTGGATGGGACTTGTAGTTCCCCAATATCTGTCCACAGTGATAAGGATTCCAGCACAAGCCTGCTCAGAGGGTGGGGAGCACATCATCCCCGCGGGAGGGGCTTTGTAGTCCTAGAACAGCTGTCATAGACATCCATCATCTCCCCACATCCCAGCACTGACCTCTCTCCATTGTTAACAATGACTCCCCCATTCTGAGAGTGGTTCTTGTTCAGAGACATGTCGTATCTGGCCCGTCAGCCGTGAACACAAACCAGGAAGTTATGGAGAGGGATGAGCCGACATTACAGACGTCACCTCCTTGTGTAACCGATGAGTCAGCTGACCGGGATTACTAGACTCTGTGAGCGTGCATTCTCCCTACCGACCATTAGATGGCGCCATTGTACTGGGAATCCTCTACCATGGCTGCGTGCGCACAAGTGACGATCTCGTCATGTAAGGTCCTCTCACACCACACTGTACAGACCTGTACGGAACAGTACGCTGCAACCTGCTGACGTGTATTCATTTACATCAGTTTGATGCACATTGCCATGTATGCTTTATCGTGTTGCATTTGTATGTATTGGTTGGTCTGCATTTGAATTATCATCTGCTGAGGAGTATTTTACACGCCTATTTCCTGTTACATCATTTCCGGCTCTTGTGACTTTTGAGAAGATACTTAAAGTGGTTCTAAAGCCTTAAGGTTTTTTGGTGAAAAAACGTCTGTGCTGCAGGATCCCATCCCCCCCTTATACTTACCTAAGCCAGATCCAGTGATGTGAAGCGGCGCTGTCTTCCTCCTCCCTGGGAAGATTGATAACAGCGGAAGCCATTGACTCCCGCTACTGTAAATTAAATGCTGTGTTGAGCCAGTGGGGGGTGGGCCAAGCAGTTGACTGTGTCAATATACACAGACAGGGAGGCTTGTGAGTGAGCCCAGATGGGTGCCCCTATGGAAAGCGAGTTTCCATGGGGGCACCCCCGAAAGAGGAGGCCTGGAGTGGCGTAAAAAGAGGACTGGAGGCTGCTCTGTGCAAAACCATTTCACAAAGCTGTCAAGTATACCATGTTTGTTATTTTAATAAAAAAGGGAAGTTTTAATGTCACTTTAAAAAAAAGCTTTTTAACTTTTAAGCCACTTTTTAACATTTTAAGCCACTCCAGGCTCTAGAAGGATCCCGACCATTTTGCCAGGTTCCTCCCAGTGGTCTAATTAATAGATGGCTCCAGCTCTCCAGTGCACCTCCAACCTGCAAAAGCCTGAGCCTCTTTAAGTCCATACCACAAGTGCATCTACACAGCAAACCATATCACCTCCTGCCAACTACAAGGTGACTCTTGGCAACAAGCCACAGTTCAAGCAGCACCCAGCAGAACCTTATAGACTAAACCACAGCTAAATGCTCTTACAACATCATTTTATCCTGGCATATGGCAGCCTTATTAACCAGAGAACCTTCATGCCCAAGGGGTCCCACAAGTTACTTTGGCACCAAAAAGTGAGTGATCAGACCTGTTTGACTTTTTCAGATATATGATTTGCCGCAAGCTCTTTAACATTATCCTCTCAAGGTTTAATGACTGTCCAGAGAACTATAGGGCTTGGAAATCAACTTTCAAAGCTTCTATAGTTGTACCTGACCCTGAGACCTGTTCCTGTGACCTGCTCCCTTTACTCTGCTCCCTGCATCCAGCTCTCCCAGTAACTTGCTTCCTGCAACTTTTGTTTCCTGTCTTAGTCCTGCTTATGTGTGCGCCCTCTATTTATTATATAGTTAGGTTGTCATTTGGGTTGCTGCACTTTCAAGTTTATTTTGTCACTTTATATCGCTTATGGTTTATTGGTGTTGTAGGAGTGATATTTATGTTACTTAACTTCATTTACCTTATTTAACCTGGTTCCTGATTTCTTAAGGTACAGCCCACTGACCTGGTCATCCTAGATGGATACCTGCTTTTGGTATCCATGACACAGACCCTCGTCCACCTGGACTAAGCTATCTGGACAACGCTCATGGCGTGAATCCAGTGGTGTCTAAACTGGCATACAACCTGCAAGAGAAGTGGGTACAACAGGGCTCAAAATATAAAAGAGACTATAATGTATCTTTTTTTTCTCCAATCTCATATTTTTGCAGGTTCATCAGTGAATAAGCCTGGACAAGAAATGATCCCAGCTTCAGTGAATCTAGCTTGCCTGCTTCATCATCATCAAGGTATGATGGCAAAGCAGCTAAATATAGAGACATAAATAGAGCAGTATCTGCTAAAAAAACAAACATCTCACCTCCTGTATCCTCTCCTGCTCACCAGTGTGATTCGGGTGACAGAGATAAAGATCCTAATCATCAGTGCCCTATTCACAAAAAAAAACCTCACCTTCCTAAGAAATGTCATGGAGTGGACTTAGGGCATAGACTGTACAAGAACGCAGGGAGAGTCTCCAGAAACTTGGAATATGCTATAGGTGCTGTCAGGGGCGGACTGACCATACGAACACTCAGGCACTGCCCGAGGTGCCGGGGTCAGTAGGGGGCCCCATGAAATGCCCCTGGTACCTTTTTATAGGCTTTTTTGGGTGTGCTTTGAGTGTAGGCAAGGACACAGGGGCTCCATGATCCCCTATTGCCCGGGGGGGCTCCATGAGTTGTCAGTCCACCCCTGGGTGCTGTGCTTCCTATGAGCATTATGGTAAAAATTGTAAAGTTGTCATCAATTGCACAGAATGCAGTAGAGATAAACACGTTACAGCTATGCATCCTGCTCCACTTCCATACAATCCACAGCAACCACCTACACTGACCTTCAAATCATGGCAGGGAGCAACAATGCCATGCTCCAGCCACAACAAATGTTTCCTTTTCATGCACTGAATTCTGTGGAGAAGGATTAAGCCACAAATGCTGTGCCTACGTATGTCTAATCAAAATATATGCGAAGGATCAACTTTAGAAAGCTACCAGCATATATGCCATAATAGATGAGCAGAGAAACAGATCCCTGGTTAAACCGAAATTCTTTGAGATCTTTGGCATAATGGGACATGCAACACCATATACTCTCAACACCTGTTCTGGTCATGTAGAAACCTCCAGCAGAAGGGACGATGGGTTCATTGTCTCCCATATCAAGGCAAAGGCAAGGGCATACCCTTGCCAACATTAGTTGAGTGTGACCAAATACAAGACAACAGGGAAAAAATCCCTACTCCAGAAGCTGCGTGTCACCTTCCCCACTTAAGGCACCTGGTTACTGATATTCCTCAAATGGACATGGCTGCTGAAACCTTAGTCTTGCTGGGAAGAGACATCCTCAGAGTACATAAAGTATGCCAGCAGTACAATGGATCTGGTGATGCGCCATATGCACAAAGACATGATCTAGATGGGGCAATAGTGGCGTTGTATGCTTAAATAGAATGTGCACACCATCTGATATCAACTCCTTCAAAACTCACGTGTTAAGAAATGGGCTTGCATCTCACTTCAGACAATGCCCTCATCATTTTGAAGTAAAGAAGAAGCCTCTTGAGATCATCCAGGTATCTGATGTTACCCCCATACCCTGTGATGATTGTTTAGGTAGCACAGTGTTTTGTACTACACGTGATGACAAGAGAATAGCCTTTTCATTTGAAGATAAAGATAAATTTAACACCTGGGTTGCACCATTACCTGTTTGTGCTACAATAGTCAGACTACCAAACAATCGTGAGCAACATTTATCCAGATTCACTTCAGCGAACACTAAAGAACCATTTCATTGCCATTATGAAAAGGATCTTTGACAATGATCACGTTGAGCCAGCTCCACCTCTTCCATAACGTGATGAGTGCTGGTATCTGCCTTTCTTTGGAGTGTATCATGGGAAGGATGGAGGAGTATTTATACTAGAATCGAGGGGGTTGGGAGAATTAGATTATAACGGGGGTAGACAGATCAGACAGGGGTCAGTATTTATTGGTGGGTGGAATGGGGAAAGCTGGGGGGAAGGCTATGGCAGATGATAAGAAGGTTCCCATGTTACAAACAACGAGTAGAATTGGTACCATTTGTATGAAAATAAAAAATATGCAAAATATGTGTGAACAAGGTGCCCATGAATTAAAGTGTTTGTTCACAAATGCCAGAAGTCTGCTAAGTAAAATAGGTGAGTTGGAAGCTTTGGTACATGAAGAGAACTATGATTTAATTGGTATTGATGGATCTTGGCTTCATTCTTCACATGACTGGGCCATTATTATTCCTGGCTATGTTCTCTTTCAGAAATAGGAGCGGTGGTGGTGTCTGTCTCTATGTGAGAAGTGACCTCAGAGCGAGTGTGAAAGAAGACCTAGTTGATGGAGAGTGTGATGAGGCTGAAGTATTATGGGTGGAACTGCACATGTGGGTGCATACTATAAAGGTAATCATTGGCGCTTGTTATAGGCCTCCCAGTGTTAATGAGGAGGTGGAGACTCAGCTCCTTGCACAGATCGAAAGGGCTGGGACAGTGATAATAATGGGGGATTATAACTACCTGGAAATTGACTGGAGTAATGGTACTGCAGGAACAGTTAAAGGGCAAACATTTTTAAACCTACTACAAGACAATTTTATGGTACAGTTCATAGAGGCCACAACTAGGATTGATGCTCTGCTGGACCTGGTAATCTCAAACCATGCAGAGCTTATTACAAATGTCCATACAAAAGAACATCTGGATAGTAGTGACCACAACATGATTTCATTTAATGTTAGCTGTAAACAGTGAGCATATGAAGGAAAAATAAAAACGCTCAATTTTAAGAGAGCAAATTTTCTACGGCTGAGAGATGCTCTTTAAGACTTAGACTGGGAGGGAATATTGACATCAAAACACAACACAGAAATGGGAGTTCTTCAAAAAGACTGTATGTGAACACACTGCAAAATATATTCCCATGGGCAACAAGTTTAAAAGGCTAAAAATCAAACCTATGTGGCTTACAGCCAAAGTTAAAAAAGCTATAGATAAGAAAAGAGCTTTTATTAAATATAAAAATGAAGGAACGCTATCATCGTTTAAACATTACAAAGAATAGAACAGAATATGCAAAAAGGAAATAAAGGCCACAAAAATTTAAAATGAATGACAGATTGCAAAAGATAGCAGGACCAACCCCAAAAAATTCTTCAAATATATTAATAGTAAAAAGGTCAGGTCCGAGCATGTGGGCCCTTTACAAAATAATCTAAAGTGGGTGACTGGGGA